ACGTCATCAGCGACGTCACTGATGACGTCACCGACATTCGCATCGTCATCGTCATCATCACTGGTGAAGTCAGCAGTGACGTCACTAATGACGTCATCGGTACCCGCATCGTCATCGTCACTGATGACGTCATCAGCGACGTCAGTGATGACATCATCGGCATTGGGGGTCACGTGACCCCCAAGGTCACGTGACCCCCCTGTTTAGTTTAACCCCCCCAGTGCCCTTCCCTCCTCCTCCTCAAGAGCTGCGCTCTAATTCGGCGTTACAGGGAGTTGTAAGCGGCTTTCACTTTTTCTCTCGCTGGACGGTCTTTCGGACGAGGCATTAGGCGCCCAAGTGTCGAAACAGGTTTGTGAGCCACCTGAATACCTTCTTTGGCCAGCGTACGAGCCAGAGTTTCGCTAGTTCCCTTTATATAAGGTACACAGACGCGGATGTTAGGGCGGGACTGCGTGCTATTCTGTGGGTGCTCGAGACTGCGACCAAGACGACGGGCAACACGGCTGATGAAGCTGTTGGTGTAGCCATTCTTTTTGAGGTCGGCGATGACAGCCTGTTCTTCACTTTCTTTATCTTTCTTTGAGGAGCAGATGTTCCGAGCTCTGGACAACAGGGTCGCAACCACCGACGCCTTGTGACTCGAAGGGTGGTATGAGTCAAACCGAAGGTAACGTCCAGTGTGGGTCGGCTTCCTGTATACAGTGAACTCCATGTCTTCACCTACTCGCTTGACAAGCACGTCCAGAAACGGCAAGGTGTCGTTTTTTTCAAGCTCTAATGTAAACTGGATGGCCGGCTCGATGGAGTTGAGGTGAGCTAAAAAGTTGTCCACCTCTGATGTTTTTAGGATACAAAAGCAATCATCGACGTACCGTAGGAACACTTTGGGGCTAGCCGGAAATGAGTGCAGCGCCCTTTGTTCGATTGCTTCCATCGGCAGGTTTGCCGTAGTAACCGAAATAGAAGCTCCCATTGCGGTTCCGCTGGTCTGGCTGAAGAACTCTCCTTGGAAGCTGAAGTAGGTGCTGTGAAGGCAGAATTCAAGGAGGCAGCATATTTCATCCACGCTAAGGCAGGTTCTTTCGTTCAGGTCTTTCTCCTTTTCGAGAGCGTTCCTGGCTGTGGCTACAGCCAGGGGCACTGGAACGCTTGTGAACAGTGAAATTACATCGAATGACACTAGACTGTCCTCGGTGGTGACCTTGAGTTCTGAAACGAGCTCCACGAAATGACCGGCGTTTCGTACGTTAGTTGTCGTTCTTCCGACGAGAGGGGAAAGGGTGCGATGGAGGTAGTTGGATAGCGCCCGAAGCGGTGACGTTGTAAAATCCACGATAGGCCGGAGGGGAACATTTGGCTTGTGGATCTTAGGGAGTCCATTGAATCCAGGAGCAGAACCATTTCGGCATATGAGCCGTAGGTAAAGGTTCTTTGATTCTGGATGTTTTTTGAAAATTCCCGCCAGAAGTTTGTTCAGATTTGTCTGAACTTGTGTGGTGGGGTCCTTTTTGAGTTTCTGATAAGCCGAGCTGTCCAGAAGATCCTTCACCTTTCGTTCGTAGTCTTCCCGATCTAGGACGACCGTCGAGTTACCCTTGTCCGCCGGTAAAAGCACAATTTTTGTGTCATCTCTTAGCTGCCGAAGTGCTGTCGACTCTTCTCTTGATATGTTGTATTGTTGACGCAAAGGAATTTTCGACAGAATGCTGACCGTTTTCTGTCGGACCCGTTCCTGGGCGCTTGAGCTCAGGAACGGACGCTTGAGACGACGCTTGAGCTCAGGAATGGGCGCTTGAGACGACGACAAAGCCGCCCATACCAAAGATTGTCGCCACAATAGAAGACGGTATCACGCAATCTCGTTTCGCCACCTCAAAACGGCGTGGCGGAGAAGATGCGAGGCCGTTCTCTCTTCTTCTCGACTCTTCTCGGAGAAACAAGGCGTCAACATATATCTGTCAAATGCGCCTTCTTTTTTAGAAATTACGGACATCCGTTCGAGATGTCGCTGTATCAGTGATTCTTTGGTGTTTGTAGCACCCGGTTGCACGCGTTTGCCGCCGTGTTTTGTGCAATCCAGATTTCGGTTCAGCATCCTTTATAAAAAGACACTGTATTTCGATTACTTTTTGTAGTAATTTTCAATCTTGCAAATACATTTGATCGAAAGTATTTCGCACTTTATCTTAATCCACCCTTCTCCGGCTTTCCGGTTCGAGGGCGTTGTCAGGCCGGATTAAGCTGTCTTGAAAAACAAGGCTGCCATTTTGCTTGACGCGAGCGGCGACGTGTGATTCTCGGTTGTTATTGAGCAATGCCAAAGCGCTGTGTTACGTTTGGATGACGGAATCGGCGCCGGCCGGGGGAGGGGGCGAAACTTTTTCGGTTTCCTTCGGAGAAGTTCGACCTTGATATAAAAGCTGCGTGGGTTCGTGAGTTGAAGGGGGTTCGCCCGTCAGGCCCCACAAAGGATTTGGGGGGGGGGGGGGGGGGGGGGGGGGGGGGGGCAAACGAGCGTACCGGACCACTGCAAACAACTTCATTTTTGAGAACGAGATATTTCCGCGATATTCTCAACTGAAATATTTCTGCGAAAAATAGGTCCCACGAATATATTACTCTATGGTAAGGAAACCACAGCACACGACTCCTCATCGCAAAATTTTCTGCCCGGAGATACCGTATTCTCGAAATTTGCGAACTATTGAAGCCCGCGAAAATGAAGTCGTTTACAGCACGAGGAGCTTACATCGTCACAGGTCAGTCACTTTAATCACGTCTCAGAAAAATACGCTAGGAAGTTGCGTGATTGTTATATTTATAATGCAATTAAATGCAAAGGTATAAGCTAGCTGGACAGGAACGACGATAGTAATCCCTGGAGAAGGGGAACAAGGGGGACAAAGGACAAACACAAATCTCCAAACACAGCTAGGTGACTGGTGCGCGACCGAAAAAAAAAACAGGGGGAACAGCGGGTGCGCTGTTCCTCCTGTACATCACGAGCAACCAACTCGACCGAACCTCTGGTTTAACAAGCCATTCACATATTTTTATATATGCTGACATCAAATTGTTTAGGCAGGTGTCATCCATCTATGGCTGTGGAATGCTACTCGAGGATGTTACTGCTGTGCACCATGGGTGTTGTAGCATCCTGTTAACACTAAATCCTAAAAAAACTGTAGCTATGTCCTTTTCTAAGAAATTGGAAATCGTAAGTTTTTGTTACTATCTTGAGAACCTACATCTGCGTAGGGTTGAATGCACAAGAGATTTAAGAGTATATACATTGATTCAACCATTGTCATTCAAAGAACATATTTCCAACAACAAAAATGCTGCCTAACGGACGCTAGGTGTTATTTCGAGAAAAACGCGTAAATTCCCTTCGTCAGTTTGTATATTCATTGTGTATTTTTTATTAGTGCGTGGCAAGCTTGAATTTAGTTATGTTGTTTGGAATTGTTTTGGTATTGCAAACCAGGCAAAAATCGAAAACGTGCAGAGACGTTTCTTACGTAGTATTTATGATCGCTACATTGGCCGCAGTGCTTATGATGAGTATAACAGGCTTTTACAACGATCTGGTTCTACCACACTAAGCTCGAGAAGGCTTAAGCGCGATCTAATGTTTTTGTATAAATGCATTCATGGTAGCATTGGTTGTCCAATCCTCACATCAGCTATTAATACATATGTACCGCGAGTGTTTTTGAGGGTAAATCTTACTTTCTCAGTTTAAAAAATCAACATTTCCGGTCCCATGAACCACATCCAACGGTTTTATAACGCGTTCAGTACAACCAGCTTTGACATTTTCAACTCAAGTGTTCAAGCGTTTAGGCGTTCAATGACTGTTACCTATTTTCTGTTCCCTATATTAGATAATATTTGTTGCAAGTGCCTTAGATTTGTTGTGTGTGCTCGTTTTGACTATGTGCATCATTACTTAGGATACTCGCCGTTCATGAGCACGGAAAATAAACAAATGAAATGAAATGAAATGACAGCTTAAGAAGCACAGATCATGGTTTACGATTTTTCGCTCGTGATTTGTTTTTCTGCATTCTTATCTGATGATGCCACAATACAATGAACACCGGGCTATAATAAAAAGCCCGGGACTCGATACGCCCCGCGTTTCTTAAATTGTCAGGTAATTAAGTGACTTCTTTGTGTCCTTCCTTGCGAGTTTATTGCTTGTTTTTAAACGCTTTTTTTTTTTTTTTTAAAGGAGCATTAATGTCTATTTTGAGATCGTTGAACTTTGGGAAGAGTTTTCTTCCGAGTGAAGTGGTCGACGAAGGGCGCTTGTCAGTGAGTTGAAAGCGATGACTTCGCCCGCGGAGAAAAAGAGGAGTCTTATTCGAATCTGTACCTATCAGACTCTCTTCGAAACAAGTTATAACGAAATCATTCGAAATCTGCGCGTGTTGTAGGGATTTCATTATTCCACGCAATGTAGTCCGCGAAAAAAAAAAAAAAAGTCCACACGTTTTTCTATTGCCCTGAGATGAATAGGCAGTTTTGTAATATAGGACTTGGTATATGTGGAAGCTAACACCTCTTAAACAAAATGAGATCAAAAATTACCTTTTTTTAAGAAATCACTTCAGTGCCCCTTTAAGGTTCAATTACTAAGAATCAAAGTCAGTCACCCCACGACTAAGCAAGTAAGCAAGCGCCACTACGTTACCTCTATCCAGCGTAGAGTGATTTTCCAAATCAAGTAGGGGAAGTCAACGTCGCTCACTCTCGGTAATTTAAACAGCATCTGCTATAATAAGACGTCCTGCGTGGGAGTGTCTCTACCTGTTTCCTATGCGCTGTACTCGCTCTCCTCAATCGGAGGGTTTTCCCGGAGACAAACAAGAACTAAAAAGGTTTCTCTGGCAATCTCCCCTCCCCTGCTATCTTCGTTCATGTTTACTACATATGCGCTTTGCGTTCCTCTCGTCAAAACCAGGATATACCCTCGTTTGGCTCGCAATCTCCAACGTGCGTTACGCTTCGGCCGTGACTTCGCTCGTTCCCTCGCAACGTCCGGTCTATCGCGGTAAAGGCGTCTCGTTGTTACGCGTGTCGACTCGATAAAAAGCGTCTGGACCGGTGGAAGCTTCTCCATTCTGCCGTCCCGCTCCACCAGGTTTAGAGGGAACAATGTCGCTCCGGATATGGTGTATCTGTGCGACGTTTTTCTACTACGTCACTTCGTCGTATCTCCAGTCCTACGAGAAAGTCAGTGGATCGCTTCGTGTTCTCCAGCCTTTTCACTGGACCACTCCGGACACCCCCGTGAAAACTTCCTCGAAGGACTGTGACGTCGCGCCGTACTCTGACAACGTCGGGGATAGGGCGACGTGTACGTTCACGAGGAGCGTCGACAGAGACCCCGACAGGATACCGTCGGAGATACCGAACGTGAAGTGCAAGTGCTTGGACAGTCTGTGCAGCAAACTGGGGGACTACCGCTGTCTGGAGGTCAAGGAGACGCTGATGGTAGCGTACCGGAAGCAGGATTCGGCCAAGTTGGTCAACGGGACGGCGGAAGTGACGACGGCCTGCGTCTGCGTGATGAGTCGGAGCGCTCTGGCGTCCGGTGGTGGCACTAGGACGGCAGATGTAGATAAGAAGCTCTGAGGAGCGAAATGGTGCTGAGACGTTCTGCCTCGATGACTGAACAGCTGAAAGTCTAAACAGAGTTTCACACATGGCTCATCAGGAGAGTCTGGAAAATCTATTCCGTGAAATAATGTTACCGCTGTCCATTTTATAGTTGTTATAGAATATATATACTGTTTTGCGTATAAATAACGAGCACTCGTAGGTATTGAAACTTGTTTATTTCTGACTCGGGAGTGCCCAGAATTGTTAGCGGTTTACACAGGGTGTTATTACTGTTTATTATTCCCAATGAGATCCATATAGTTCATCTGAAAGCAAACACATGCGTATAATATGCACATTAAGTTTTCAACGTGTCAGAAAGCGCGTTTTATGAAGCAGTAAAAACGGTTTACTCATACACAAGAAAGTTATAGGGTGCGATGCATGTACTGGTCTTCTAAATCCCGAGAAATGTAGTACATAAAACAAAAGCCGACGCGGACGCTTTTTATATTTCCTTAGGTTGCCAACATCTATAGCTATCTATATTCTAGTCCAACCAGTCGGCCTAACGAAAATCACCCCTTAAGGTGTAAGTATTTGCAATGCTTGCGGAATTCGGCTATTCAGGGTTACGAAACATTCACAGCAAAAACGCCGGGGCATTAGTTTAAATTTTATAACCGAATATCCTTACTGACATGGTTCATGAGCTTTCACAATCGCCTCTTGTTACCCCCGTGTGTGTAGCAGAATTATATTTGCCAACCCAATCAGCGAAGAAACAACATCGTTGCATGAAGTGATCGCATCAATACAGAAATCCATGGTGCGAATATGCTACGAAAAGGCTACGAATTTCGTCAGGAAGCGTTTGCACTTTTCGCGGCGTCATACTATGGTCCCTGGAACGCGTCTCCGACTGGTGTGTTTACCGCGTCCAAGAAAGTGGTCCATCGATTTCCACCTGATGACGTCGTACAAGTGTCATGCTGTCGCCGGTCGCAATCCTTGCGGCGTCCCAACAGTTGTGGTACCTATGGCAGACGCCTGTTCTGCTGTAGGTCGCTCTCCACTTTCACAGTCCACGGAAGATACAGCAGCCGGAAGCTGGGACGCCTGGGACGCCGTCACGACAGCGACACTCGCGTTCGCTCGTGCTTTTCGCCAGGAATTGCTACGCCCAGCCGCCTGGATCGCGACAGGCAACAGCACGACACTCCGGTTTCTGTGACGTCATTTGTTGCCACTTGGGGACCACTTTTGATGTATGGGCGGGATAGGACGCTAAACGCACCAGTCAGAGACGCAATCCAGGCACCATAGTCATAGTGGCTGTTGCGCCGCACGGAAAGCTAACATGCCGTAGTGCAAAATTCTTCTCTTGTTCGCCCCATATTCGCTCCGTAGAATACGCAAATTTCTTCGTACGCAGGTGCCGCTTGTCTCTGTCTCACTTTATAGATAAGCGTTTATCTTGCTTTCTCGTGGTTCTTTGACCGGACTGCGCATAGGTAACGTTGTTGTACCAAGGTCTTGTCTGCTATACGCGAGGAGACGCATCGGCCGGTACCCATTAAACACCTTAGATAATAATTTTGTTGTACGTGAAGTTAAGCAGGTGCACAAAAAATAATTTTATTTGTACAAAGTTTTATTAAACCTTACCTTTATATAATGGAACTTGGTAGTCATATTCAGGATTTGATACGGATTTGTACTTCTTGTTACACTTCCTGAAACACGCATTAACAGCAAGTTTTACTAACGCGGGAACATAACTATTAATGCCAAGTTATGGTGTCACGGATATTTATTAAGCTAGGTAATAAAAAAGGCGATTGAAGAAGGGAAAGTTTATTGTAAGAGCTCATCGTTCACGTTCGAAATTTTTATCGTCTCATTCGTTTCTATCTCATATTCATGGATATATGCATATAGATATAATCAATGCAAATTGCATTCTCAGAAGGTTAAGACAAAACATAAAAAAGGTGAAGAAACTTTCGAAAAACCAAAGATCAATAATATTGCGGTGATTTTATCTCGATATTAATGCCCTATTCATACATCATGCAGAATATAGTGGAGGCACCCCAGTCAAGTATTGATTAAACAATTACGCAAAAGGGCATCCCATCCAGAATTAAAATATAAAAAACTTTCGATTGGCATAAGAAGGCTAGAATATTACACAGTAATTTAATTTCTGCTATTTTTGTTTTAATGCAAGAGTTACTTTCACAGAAGTATGACTTCTTAGGAAAACTAATCAGTCTTAATTTGGAGATTAAAAGCGTGCCTTTCGAATGGGCTTTCAAGTATAGCAACAACTTGTACCCCCTACATATGCTCCCGCGCATTATTTATACTCACTATCGACAAATATTTTCCCAACCTTTATTGAACAGAGATTTGCGCGTTTAACTTTATGTATACTTTCTCATCGAAAGATTAATAATGGCTTACCTCAAGTAACTCCATATCCTATTTGGTCTGCTCTTCAACTTTTCAATGTCGTCAACATACCGAGCACGTTTACGATTAATGCTAAAAAAAAACCAAAAAAAACGCACTCATTTTTTTTTAAATACAAATGTCAAATTGGGTTAAATAGTACAACCATAAAACTAAACATATTCGTCAGAAATCTGCCCGCTGGGTGAGAATTAAAGTCTAAAAAATACAGCTCCCACCTAATCCTGAAAGGAAACCTGACGTTTCAAAACAAGATCGGTTTCTTTTCTAAGCATCAATAAAAGCACGCGGAGCAGCAGAAGCTCCCAAACTCGTCATCACTGAAAAAAAAAATATATATATATATATATATATATAGAGAGAGAGAGAGAGAGAGAGAGGGTGGGGAAGAGGAGTGTAGGGCAGGGGTCTCAAAGCTTTTCGGCTAAGGGGCTAGGTCGAGGCTCTGTCGCTGTCTTGAGGGCCGGAAAATAAATGAATGTCGAAACACCAAATAAATAATTCTAATAGATATGCAAGCATTTAAACGCAAAATTTAAAGTTAGAGTAACCATTAATATTAATCTATAGAAGGTAGAAGACAATGTTACTTCGTTATGAAATGTCCAAATCAACTAATTATGACGTTACCCAACAATTGGAGCCCAAAGAACACACCAAGCATAAAGCAAAGCCTATCAGAAGTTTGTCACGTTCACAACGTGCAGAAGGCTAGTGAGAATGATAGAATTAATGCTGGTTGTCCCATTCTCATTTGGTCCTTCTCGTTTGAACCTTCTCATAAGATCCAACTGGACCCATTCTCATTTCGCCCGTTCGCGCTACGACCGAATGGCACTAGTTCGGCATGCTTTTAACGTCGTTATGCCTTCGCGGCTTTGTTGATGAGCCTTATTCAGCTTGGGCCCCCAGCATACCATCAGATATATGTTATGTTTAGAGGTACGCACTAAAAATCGCACAATGACGCCTGCTTCCCTTTCTCTAAGCAGACGAGGAAAAAAAGCGATGAACATATGATTTGAAAATCTTTGTTTGAACAGAAATAGCATACATAAAAGCAGTGGTTCTCAACGATTGATGTTTCGCGGACCCTTGTAGAAACTACTAGAAAGGCGGAGATGATAAAGGACCCCGTTCGGGGTATGGGGAATAGAAAGGTATAGGTTATCATGATAATGATTTAATAAATGAATATAACTAATTGCTAGTGTGAAGTATACTTCTCTCATTGACATACACACGAGAGTACTCACCCAAAAATTGGAACGTTTCTTCTGAACGTGAAGAAAGGCAGTTAATATTGCCGTGCTTGACTGTTGATACAGGGCTTCGCGACCCCTAGAATGCCTTCGCAGAACCCCCTTTGAGAACGACTGCATTATAGAAGTGGTGGCATTGTCTCAAGTCGAGAGACCTCAAACAACGTGACATTTCGGAATATGATCTTTTTGCGATAAATAGTAGGTCTGTTTTCCTGTCAGCTATTAGCTTTTCACGACGACCTGGGCGCACTGCTAAAATCCTTAGCGGAGAAAGTACGCCTGTAGCGTGGCACACACGCACACATGCAGTCACAAAAGATATATGAATGTATTTATTAATATTACCCTAAAAACGATTTCGGTATGAAAAGATTCAAGTGCGACGGGTCAAAGCGAGATATTTTTGAGAATGGCTGTTTCAAAAAGGGCCACGGGAGAAGGGCGAAACAAGAACGATCCCAAATGAGTAGAATTGGAATGCGAAAGACGAAACGGGGAAGGGTCAAATGCGACGGGCCAAAACGAGGAGATATTTTTGAGAATGGATGTTCTGGGAAGGGCCAAGTAAGAAGGGCGAAACTAAAACGGGCTCAAATGAGGAGGGTTGAAATGCGAAGGACGAAACGGGAAAGGGCCAAATGCGACAGGTCCAAGAGAGAAGATCTTTATGAGAATGGTTGTTCTGAGAAGGGCCAAGTGAGAAGGGCGAAACGAGAATAGCTCAAATGATAGCCACCCGGCCGGGGGCTGGACTTCAATGGGAGGACTGCAGCCAGCCACGGGCCGGTCAGAAGACTTCCGAGGACCGGATCTGACCCGTAGGCAGGGGTTCGGAGTTCAATGGTCTGTAGAGTATCACAGTGTTCGGCAGTGACACTGCGCTCACTTTCGAACTTCCGCTCGTCCTTGTTTTGCTGGCGGATTCGCTCAGGAAAGGTCTTCGTCTCGCGGATCTATAGGCTTCGGAGCACTCTACGCATCGTGTACACCACGCCCCGCGCTCTTTTTTGGTAGAAAGTGTTTGGGCCACCAGACTGCCTTCTTTCACCAGTACACGCGCTAGCACTTCGCTGCTCCCCTGTACGTATAAAGGACGCTGATGCACGCGTCTCGATGGGGCTGCCTTTTTTTAATGGCTTCTAGTTTTCTCTGCCGAGACCTTGGATTTGGTCGATGCGTTCAATAAAGCTACTAGAGTAGCCGCGTTTCTTAAGGTCTGTGAGCGTTTAGGTTTCTGGCGCACGATAGGACACTTATACAGGTCCGTGGGCAACTTGTCCTCTGTGTAAGCACATGGCCTTCACGACCTGCCAAGAAAGCTGAAAAGATCACCGGTTGCACAAAAAAAAACAAAAAAAACTTAAATGTTAATTTTTTTTTTTTTTTTTTTTTTTTTTTTTTATGTCGACGAGGATAGGAGTGTCTGCTGCTCCGCGTGCTTTCAGTGACCCTTGAAGAAGAGACCGAGCTAGTTTGCAGATGTCGAACTTCCTTTCCTGATTTGGTTGGAGCTACATTTTTGGACTTTCGTATACCCATGCTACAGTGTACTAGAATGGAGTAGTGGCTCACCGCGCCACTTG